CAGCACATAAAAATACACTATAATAGTATATTTAATTTTATATTTATTGAAAATTCAAGAAAAGATGCATAATCTTGAATTTTTGATCAAAAAATCCAAAATTAAGTATTTTCTCTTGAATTTTGAAAACTTCCAATGGTTTAAAAAATGAGATAGCTAATTTTTGAATATAATTCTTCCAAAATGCAGATAATTTGCTAAAAATAAAATATAATATACATAAAATTAATGTACTGTAATTTTGACAAAATGCTAAATTATAACCTATTATTAAAATTATTATTAATTTGCTAAAACTAAAAATCAGATTTTAAGCCAAATTTTTGACTTTTTGCTAAAGTGCAAGTATAATCTATATGAGAGATGTCCGGGGTCCTACTTGAATATATTTAAACTCAAACAGCTTGACAAACTTCAAATTAAACTCAAATCAAACTTATAATTAAGTTTGAGTTTAAAAATTTGCAAAAATTTTAACAGTACTGCAGAATAGAAAACAAAACTGGAAACTCAACTAGAGATCTAATGATTATAACCCATAGGTTTAGAGTCACACCAAACTGGCCACCAAAGTTGCACTGGAGCAAAAAGACATATACTCTGAAAGTGTGTACCAAAAGGAAAAAGACCTTTAGATATTTAAAGTCTAGACAGACCAACCCTTTTAAGCTAACTGAATTGGTAGTAGAGATGTCTCTGAAGCCAAACTCATTAGTCAAAAAGGAAGTTGGTATTGGGATTAGTTGTGAACCCAATAAGAGCAGAGTACATAATGGGTGACTAATTAGAAAAGTTGGGCTTAAGACACAGATTGTGTTACAGCAGCACCTCAAAAGATGGCATAAGATACAAACACAATAGCTGCAAACAATATGTACTAATTAGGAAGAAAATTACTGAACATGCAGATAAGCCATGTATAAGACATGTTCCACTCTGTTATTACAAGAATAAATGTCTTCTATTGGTTGGCTAAAATTTTAGATCTTCATATAATAAATTATTATTTTCGAAAGAGATATATTAGGAGAAAACATGTAATATTGATTGAAGCTAAAGAGTTTAAAATAGATAGCTTCCTAGTTAGACTATAAGTATGGCACCTAGTATAGAACTCTTAGTATAGACTAATGCTTTGAGTAGACTACTTAAATTAAACAACCAAAAATTGTATATGGTACTTTCATGATACTAATATAATATATAAAGCCAGTATTATTAATAATGGCCTATCTATTTGTACTAATAAAGTGCCAAAAACCTAAGTGGTCACCTAAATATTAAAAAAAAAAAAATTAATATTTGAGTTTGGGTTTGATTTTAAATCATACTTAAACTCAAACTTATCAAATCAAACTTCAGAACTCTAGAGCAAAGACACAATACTATTCTTCATAATAATAGAGGTGTATATATTTATTTTAGATTTTTAGAATCTAAATTCCTTGAAAAATATATTAGGTTTTCTTATACAATAGTGCAAGTAAGAAAGATATATTTGAACTCCAACCTAAGATTAGGATATTCAAAACCCAAATCCTACTACTTTATAATTATAGCTCGTGTGCTATAATTCCTAAATCTGAAATTAAAAGATATCTAGCAAAAAATGGTTTAGTAGACTTATTTGAAGATATACTTTATAAGATGCTTGGTATTAATTGTATTTTATTTATACAGTTCATTGTAGCTTATATAACAGATTAGATAACTCCGTATCAGTATATTTCTAATTATAAACTTTTAATTCCTTCTAGAGAAAAAACTTTAAAAGGTTATATAGATTATTATTTTTGTAAAACTATGGCAGCTTAAGAAATCCAAGTAGAAGAAATTATGAATTACTTAGAACTAAATTAGTTTCAAAGTGCTAAAATTTAAAAGGAAAAAAGGATCTACAAGTCATAATACAGGTTAGTGACAAAACCAAATTCAACATCACGAGGCCTGAAAATGTGATCAAACCCAATTCAATACGCCAAAGAACCCGTGAGGAAATTGTTTCCACAAAGCCCTAAGACCATGGAAAGAAAGAAAGAAAGATAAGGCAGAAGATGTAAGTCCATGAAAAGCCCATATATTTGTAAATAGAGAGCTAAGCAAAGCCAAAAGTGGCATGCTTGTCGGTAGAAAAAAGTTCGATCTTGTTCTTTCCCCCCACCCCCCCTGCATGTAAAAAGTGTATAAAATGAGCTTGTTTTGCCCTCTAATAAAGAACAGTGTGTGTTTGTCTAAAAACATATTTGAGTCGTTTTTAGTTCCTGCCTTATACCTGATATGCCTTACCTTGCCAAATCTTTATACCTCTATATATCGGATTTGTTTGTAGTCTATGTTCCTGCCCTTTTGCCCCAACAACAGTAATATAAAAATCCCCGATAAAAAAGAACTCATTTTAGATCTAAAAAATATATAGTAATATTATATTAACTTATTTTAAATACTTATAGATTTAAATATATAACCAATTAAAAATGAATTATATACTATCGGTATAGCCATACTTGTCGCCGTTTTGATAAAGAAATAGAAGCAAGATGATTAAAATACTACAAGTATCTTCATCCCGAAGGTATTTCACGCATAAACTTGAGACTGTTCAAATAGTTAATAAAAGTATCGAAAGATATTTTACAAACTTAGTCTTGCTAGAACTTGAGGAAAAACAAGAAAATAAAAAATATAGTGCTGTCTTTCAGCAATTATACCCGATTCTTAGTGATGAGTCCTAAAGAAACACTTAAAAAATAGCACTTAGCCTATTTCTGAGAATTCTCATATCAGTTTTTACCATATTGGTGTGTAATAACGCGCATATACACATTATTTTGAGGTGCGCATGCGCAGTAATTCGAACCATTTTGACAAATTTGAGTTACAAGAGGAAACCCTACTTTTATTATGAACTTGGCATGAAAAACACGATCAAAATATGTAATATGGTACATTTAAGGGGCGCTAAAAAAAAACAATTTTTAAAAAAATGGGAGTTTTGAAATAACGCCCATGTGCATTATTACGCACCAATACGGTAAATAGCGAAAATATAAGTAGATGGCAATTTATTCATAAAATAGGTAGGCGACAGATATTTTTAAGGAAAATATATAAGTATCTTGAAGGTGATATAGCAATTCAATCTGTGTCTTATATGTTTCTTAAAGATGATAGTCAAAGTAGAAATAGAGGGAAAATAAGGAGCATAATTGCACAAGACCCTCTCCCCTAACTTATTATTCTGGTATGCTCGTAAATGGCAATCAGAATAAAAAATTTGATCTAATAGGAGGCTATGCTGTAGATATGCCCAGTGCCCATGCGATACCTCCTAACATATTTGAACAACACGCTCTTTTCACCAAATGGATATTATAACAATGGACAGTACAATGCTATATCAATATATTAGAATGCTAAAAAAAATAAGAAAAATAGGATATAATAATTACCCACAAAAAGGCCTAGTTAATATGATAATAGATACTTATTATGACAATCTTTATAGATTTATGGAATCTTTATGACAGCACCATAACAATGAAACATCAAGGTCATAACACAGGTCAGTTAACCGTTTTACTGGACAATACTTGACCTTGTTTGTTAAAGCGTGGCAACAGTTGACTGGTAAATATATATATTTATTTATTTATATATTTATTTATTTTAATAGTATTATAGTATTGATCTTAAATGTTCTTATCTTTATTTTAGAGGTAATAAAGCGATTCAGGCCTCAACTTACCATAAGTTGATCATGAACCAGGAGTCAACCAGATGTTGATTTTTTTAAATACAATGAAATTACCACCTATGGCGATGATAACATCCTTTCATATAATGATCAAATAAATGCAAAAAAAATAATTGAATATTTTCAAAAAAATGGCAGGATAAACTTTTAATGAAGTTTGATGATATAAAAAAGGATCCTGCAAAAAAACAGAACTTATTTACTTGAGCGTGTTGTTGGTTTAGCAAATAATTGCGCTCATTATTCAAACATTCATGCATTATGTTTAGAATATTAGATAAACTTATTTTCCATTACTACTTACATATGAAAAATATACGTAAAAGAATACCAATTAAAAATTATGATGAGGTAATAAAACTACAATATGTATATAAAGAAAATGAGTTGGTTCATTTAGATATGAGTGAAGGAAAGAAGATGATTAGATTCTTAAAGATCTTTGTTAACGAACTTGATTTTAAATATGAATATTTATTTTCAAACTATTGTAAGTGCTGGATATAGATTTACCAACAGCTAGCAAAGATCCCTTATTTTTTGATCTAGCGACCCATCCTATTCGTGAAATTATATTATTAAACATTGGATATACACTAATGGAGGGTGTCCAGAATCTTTAGGTGAATATATGATTCTTGTAAAAGATCATCTTTTGGAAGCATTTGTTTCTCTCGGAAGTTTTTTGAGATCAGGAACAATTTTGAATATAATCAATCCTCATTAGTAGAGTCAGATAACCATATGATTGGTATTCTCTTTGTTAGTTTATTAACAAATTACTTAGAACAATTATTGTTAAAATATCCAGTCATTCGTACGCTTATTAAACTATCTAAATTGCACACAAATTTTGGATTTACTGGATTTGCAAACTTAAATTTTTTATATTGGATTCTATTTGGTAGTAGAGGTTTTTTTTCCATTAAAACGGCAAATGAAATGAATATAATGCTTTGTAATGTCGAAGAGATCGTTGAGAAAGCTCAAGTATAGAACTTAGTGCTCTTATTCCGAGGGATCCTACTGCAAATAAAAAAGCACTATACCAATTACACCTTTTTTGAAACCATTAATGAGTGCAACTGATAAATCTCACGTGGCCAATCCTATCAGATTTTGACTTCATGGTTTATGGAAGACCTTTTTTTACAAACAAAAATTTAGGGTCGTTGTGGACTTCATTAGTTCATATAGATACGGTAGAAGAAGTACGAGAAGCTCTTAAAAATGGTTAAATACCTATCATTACAGGAGAAAAAAGCACAATTTTGTCCAAAATTAAGTAGCAAGTATGATCATTTAGTCCTGAGTATGCCGAGAAGAATGCTTGTTGTCACTCATGCATTAACTTGGCCAAAAATTTATGCTGGGTGTTCAGAAGAATTTGATTTAGATGGAAATAACATGACTACACATGGGCGGTTAACTCAGGCATTATCAGGATTTAAATCAAAGAACTTTATTATATGTCTAGATGAGATTCATGAAATGATGGAACATTATCGTAGCCATATCGTATGTTTATCTGCCACTCCAATTCCAATTCCAATTCCAAATGGTAAACTAATAAGTCTTAAAAAATCTAGAACAGTTCATGAGGTTGTGGAGTTGCCAAACCCAACAAATTTGCATTTTTGAATCAGCAGCTTACAAGAATACACTAATCTAAAAACCTAGTAATTCATCCTAGTTTATCAACCTGTATACGTCTACATGATACTTCAGCTAGTTCACTTAATCGAAAATGTCAAGTAATAAGTGGAAGAAATGATGTAATAAAAGAGGGTACTGAAATAATATTTGGAACAAACGTTTGGAATGTAAGTAGTTATAGATAGTGGTCTAGATATGGTTATAGGAATGGTAAATTTACAATGTGCGCCTTATCTAAAGCCATCGCGATTCAAAAAAAGGAGAGAACTGGTAGAACATGTGATGGTTTTCATGTGCATTTAATTAAGATATACCATTTTGATCCAAGTATATCATTCATGTATAATTTCCCAAATCTTTATAAACCTTTCTGGAGAAAGGATTAAATTATTCCAGCTCTGTGACACCCTTAAATAGGAAAGTTCCATCAGTTTATAAATTATTAAAGAATCCTGTTATGGGGATTTTTTTAGAATTATTGTATGCCTCCGGTCAACTAGATGCTGACCTGCTAACCGATAATTTTCACTTATTATTATACAATATATATACTATTTTTTTTCATTTACACCAAATATATTTAACTTTCTATATATAATTGATTCGAAGAACTTGGTCGTCGCGAAGATTATATAAGTCACAAGATAATTAGTTTCGGCTAAAAAAAAAATTGTTTACTTGCCCAATAGGTGTAACCAGTGTTTAAAATCTATATGTGGAATCTGCAGTGCGCAGATTGAAAATTCATTTCGCAAGCAAAATTTTCTCGGAATCTGAGAATTTTATTGTGTCATAAATGCCATGCATCTTTTTTTTGAATTTTTATTATGTTTCCAAAATTATCAAGCTTTTCAGAGTATTGAAACAAAATAGAATTTTAAACATTGGGTGTATTCCACGATTAGGTTTACAACAACCCGGAGTTATATCCAATTACAGAATTTAGGAATGTACTTTTGTGTGCATAGAATGTGCTGCCCTCAAATAACTCAAGCAGTTGATCCAGCGATAATTACTAGTTTAAGCAATAGCTGATATTTGATTATATATTAATTATATTATTATATAGCTATATACAGTAGAAATATGCTTGCAGAGCATTCAAAAAAATCCCGGAGGAGCTAAGAAACGTTAATATGGGCAGTCACTGAGAATATTATGCTAAAATTGGAAACTGTACTGATTGAGCTCTAGCCATCATATTACCCCGCAGCAAGAACCCCACAAAAATAAGCGTGTCTCTAGTAATATTTTTCCGTTATCAACCATGGTAGTGATCGACAAATGACAAAAATCAGCATTTCGATTTCGAAAGTTGGGGATTCTTTTATTTGGATTTAAAATTACGCCCATGGACATCTCCGAAATAATAGCTCCTATAGCATTAATGGATTTAGGTATATATAATATTAAATAGGCATAGAAATAACACACAGATGCTCATTGTTTGGAAAATCAATCGATTTAGAATTAGTGCCGCATATTGCAGTATTGGGGCGGGACCGCAGCACAAAATCTTGGTTGACAGTTCAGAGTATTGATCCACAAATTAGGTGGCGCTTTTAGTGGTTACAGCAAATATCAAATACGTATATCGACATAATAATAACAGCATGGGCACGATGGGGTGGTCGATCAATAGAATGATACAGTACAGCAGTATTAGTCTCATTTATTTTTGTATACGTAATGATAAATTTTTTGATCATTTTTATAAAAATAGTAAAAAATATTTTTCGTTGTTTTTCGACTAATAATAATTTCTTTTTTTAAAAATCTTTCAATCTTACCTTTTCAAATCTTACATATCAAATTAAAAATGATTTTAAATTGATATATATATGTAATCTAATTATCTAATTATATCAATTTTTTTGAAAATTTACTTGAAAACGTAAAGAATGCGTTAAAAATTGAAAAATTTTAAAGTTGGAAAAGAAAAATTATTAAGCGAAAATATCGAATATATATTTTTACTATTCTTTTATTATAAAAATTACAGTAATAATTTTTTGATCAAAAAAAATCTATCATTATGCAAAAAATAAATGAGAATAGACGTGTTTGATTCTATTAGGTGATTGACCACCCAATGGCAGCTCGAACCTGTATCCTGGAGTCATGAATTTTAGGAGTGAAGCCGAGTCATCCAATTAATGAATAGAGCTGAAAAATACCCTAGCTCCAGATTTGCATTTGAATATTATATTTTACGGATATACGTATAACATAACTTAAATTTACTGTATAATGTAGTACACTATATATCTTTAATTAATCGTATATTTGGCTTTAGCAAGTTCTTTTTTCATTATAAACAATTGTTTGAATACACATGAATATTAAAGTGTCTTGAGTTCTGACGATTAATACAAATAATAAACGAATAATTAAGAAAAGATACACGTTAAATGGATTCCACAAAATATGACGAAATTGAGATGATTATATACAGTACGTCCACTATATTGTGACGATGAAATATGCCAAAGTGTAGATTATAATTCAATATATATTTTGATAGATAATCATAGATCATTCATGACAATTTAAAGGAATTTGCCAGTTAACAAATAAAAAAAAAAAGCCGATCCGACTAATCGAAAACAGACTTTAAAAGGTTATTTCAACCAGCTATGGTGGGAATCACATGGGTAAAATAATCACAGAAGGCATAGAAATCAACAAATACAGCAACTAATAATAATAAGAATAATAAGAATAATGCAAAATTATGAGATAATGGGCAGTGACCCAGCTAATGATTGCGCGTGCCCCTTTGTCAGATAGCCATTTTTATAAAAAAAAAATTTCAAGAGAGCAGGTAGAAATTTAGTAAGGCAAAAAAGGTAAAGCTGATTTTGCAGATGCATATAACGTAACATTGCATTATTATACAAACATGCAAGTTTTTACAGGTTAATGTGGATAATCAGATGATAGGTATTAAATAAGCAATAAAATAAAATAAAATACGAAGCACATTGTCGGACTTGTCGATATGTTAGTGGTGGAATTATCACATGATCATCCGAAGCATAACCCTGTACGCATTTGCTGAAAAGATTTGATCAACAATATATGTTAACATATATACGATATAATATAAATTTTATCAGATTTTTCAGGGGCTAAGTCTGGTTTTTTCCTTGGCAACGTTCAATATGTTCATATGATAATGAATTTAGCATCGAGCTTTTAGTCGATAAAATTAGCCTATCAGCCACTAATAAGATAATCTTTAAAACAACGACAATAGCAAATAGATGAATCGTTAATAGATATTAGATGAATCTTTATCGGTTGATTGCCAAATAAACAAATATATGCAAGATGGCGGCACACTAGTTTTTTTTTGCAATCGCACGAGAGTATTCTGGTATATTAAATGAGTGTGTGGGAAATTATTTTTGTGTATCTCGAACCAGTTTTAAGTTTTAAACATAATATCGTACGTGCGTTGATACGCGTATTAGCAGTTAGTGATCGGGTTAATCAGATCGAAAAAGAAGGCTTGTTAATCAAAAGTAAATCATGTGTCCTTTAAATTAACGAAATTCTGAAGTTGGTTTGACAAACATTCCAGCATCGATGTGCAAATTGATTATTAACATTAGAATGTTTGGAGCACTGACTAAAAATATTTTGCAATTGGCGAAGAGTTCTAAACTGTATCACTTCTAAACAAATGCAATGGAGACTATTTGTTTATTATTGTGATCAACAAAAAAGTCATTTATAATTTTCCCAACTGAGTTTTTTTCATGATAACTTTAAAAAATATATATTTTTTGGCCCTTGCTGAAAAAAATTTATGGCGTATGTCTTAACCATATATATCTTTTCTTTCTTAGGTATATAATTTTCTATTTGTCAACAAATGATTGGTTTAGAGAAATTGGGTAAAAAATGGGCGGGAAATGTTGTTTTAGATTTTAATAAATATTAGCCTATATAATACCAGATACGATATTGATATAATATTAATACGTACATATATATTATACTATATATATATATTATATACACATATACACATATATATATAGTTTTCATTATTTGTTTATACGTATATCAAGATATATATAGCTTTTATTACTTGTTATATTATGGTTATATTATGGTTATATTATGATTATATTTAATAATTATTATTGTTACGTATATATATATCATTAATGTTTTGGTGAATCGGAGAATGTTAACGCTAACCGACACTATCTGCTATTTTTCATTTCAGTAATCATTTGAAAACCATGAGAATATCATGAGTTTATAATTTTATGTAATATCTACTACCATTATCACTTATTATCACTTATATTGCTTATATTTTCGTTTCTTATACCCATTTTATATTTACTACGCATTTCCTATCGCTGTTTTCCTTCTAAATATTTCTTCTTCTGTTATGATCTTGTGACCTTCGATCATAAACAAACAACACAAAATTGTTGTCTAAACTTCTTGCTTTCTTTTTATTTCTTAAACTATTACTGTATTTTTCCTGTATTCTTTATTAGTTCTACTAGTTCTATAGTTTTTGTAAACGGATTCCGAAATTTCTATTTCATTGATCATTCTATTTATATTATGATACCTAAATATCATTGTTAGTATCACCTTCCTCGCTAATATTGTAATCTCCTGGTAGGTGGCTGAGTTAAAAAAGAATATTTATGCAGTTGACTTTTGTTAGTTAAAAATATGTTTATTACATATACAGTATATATTATTAGCAGTTAGGAAGTGTCACAACGTAATTGACAAACCACGGAGTTTTTGTAACCCTCAATATAGATTGGGTAATTTTGATCTATATTACCCTTGTAAATTTCACCTCTTTTCAAAACCTTCTGCTTAAAGGTTTAACACTATCCCCTATCGTGCAAGAGAAACGATGACCTTAACTTGCTTTCATTATACTACCGTATATTGAGATTTTATTTCACTTTCATTTCTTTACCTTGATTCCGTTTTCCTTTGCATCTCTTGCCTTCGTTTCTCGTTTGCAAGTATATACACTCTTAAAAATCCTCATCCGAGGGTCCTCTCTCAAGTGTAAAAATTGTACAAAAGCTTTGTTCATATATTTCTCTTAGATTTATTTTTTTCTTTTACTTGAAACTTTTATTTTTCTCTAGACCTTTTTCTTTTAATTATCTATTTTACTTGTATTTTTTTTTCTTTCATCGCAGTAAAAAAAAAAAGTTGTACAACTTAACGCGATTTCTTATTTTATTGTTTTTTTCCTGCGTACGTTAAAAAAAAGGTTTCGCATTATCGAACAAAAAAAAAAAAAACAAAAAAAAAAACAGTTCTTTAAGAAAACTTAATATTACTTTTAATAATACTTTGCTACTTTAAAAAAAAAATTAACTCGTCTCTTTAAAGATGATTCCTCGTAGTATTATGGACGAAGCATCTAAAAATAAAGCTGACCTTCATCAGCCAAAAGCAAATAATAAACCACAGGGACAGGTAATATATAACTTTCTTTACTGTTAAAAGTATACCTTGGTTATCTTTTACTTTCGTCGATCTGATCTTTTTATACTATTGTATATTAAATGAGTATTATGGATATTATTAAAATATTTTAACCTTTTTTTTCTTTTTATTCAACTGTTGAATTATAGCAAGTTGCTGCTCTTTTGAGAGATAAACACGATTACGATTATGATATTTTTGGAAG